CTCGACCCCGGGACCCTAGGATCATGACCTGAGCTGAAGGCAGACACTTAACCGACTGAGCCACCCAGGCGTCCCACTAACTGGAATTTAAATGAACTTTTAAAAATGATACATGGCGTATGTAAAAAATTTTAAGAAAATATTAATAAAGTAAAAATCACCTGAAATCTGTCTACATTGTGATAAATACCATTGGCATTTTATTTATTTTTTAAAAATATTTTATTTATTTAACAGAGAGAGACAGCAAGAGAGGGAACACAAGCAGGGGGAGTGGGAGAGGGAGAAGCAGGCCCCCTGTGGCACAGGGAGCCAAATGCAGGGCTCAATCCCAAGACCCTGGGATCACGACCCAAGCCGAAGGCAGACGCCTAATGACAGAGCCACCCAGGCACCCCACCATTGGCATTTTAAATTTTTATTTAATTATTTATTTATTGAGAGTGAGCAGGAGGGAGAGGGAGAGAGAATCTGAAGCAGACTCTGCGCTCGATTGACGCGGGGCTCAATCCCATGGCTGTGAGATCATGACCTGAGCCAAAACCAAGAGTCAGACACTTAACAGACTGAGCCACCCAGGAGCCCCCCACCTTTGGCATTTTTTGATGATGCTTCCTTCAGGTCATTCTGTGCATATAACCATATAGAGTAGGAATGTCGAATTATACATTAATGGGATCATAATATGCCTATTCCTTTATAACTTGCTTTGTTTTTGTTTCAACAATGTGTGGTGAGCATCTTCCGATCCAGTTATAGATACATAATTTTAAAAGCTTTTAAATGTTAAATTATTAAAGTTATATATGCTCATAATAAAAATGCAAATAACAGGGATGCTTGGATGGCTCAGTTGTTAAGCATCTGCCTTCGGCGAAGGTCATGATCCCAGGGTCCTGGGATCGAGCTCCGCATCAGGCTCCCTGCTCAGTGGGAAGCCTGCTTCTCCCTCTTCTACTCCCCCTGCTTGTGCTTCCTCTCTCGCTGTCTCTCTCTGTCAACTAAATAAATAAATTCTTTTTTAAAAATGCAAATAACAGTGTAAAAGTTAGGAAAAATGAACATTCTTCCCCACCTTCCTAATTCCATTCCCCAGGTAACTACTTTTAACTATTTTGTACATAATCTTCAAGATTTTGCAATATATACATAAGTTTAGTAAGTTGATGATTTTTGACACAAATGGGATCACGTGATGCATGTTGGTCTTCTATGAGTTTTTTTCACTTAACTGTGTCTTTTTTTTTTTTTAAAGATTTTTATTTATTTATTTGACAGAGAGAGAGACACACAGCGAGACAGGGAACACAAGCAGGGGGAGAGGGAGAAGCAGGCTTCCCGCTGAGCAGGGAGCCCGATGCGGGGCTCGATCCCAGGACCCTGAGATCATGACCTGAGCCGAAGGCAGACACTTAACGACTGAGCCACCCAGGCGCCCCAACACTTAACTGTGTCTTGAACATCTTCCCATGTCAGTGCACGTGCACGTGTGTGTGTATACTTAATCCTTTTGACAACTGCAGAATATTTTACTATATAGATGAAACAGTTTGTTTAACCAGTGACCTCTCTTGATGGTTATTTAAATTGTTTCCAATATTTTGATATATAACTGCCTCACTGAGTATTCTTTTATTCTTTTTTTAATTCTTTTTTTAAGCCTAATATAGAGCTTGAACTCACGACCCTGAGATCAAGACCTGAGCTGAGATCAAGAGTCAGATGCTTAACCAACTGAGCCACCCAAGCTCCTCATCACTGAGTATTCTAACAATATATCTTGGTATACTTCTTTCTTTGTTGCTAAAACATAAATTCCTAGAAGCAGATCAAAGGATATGCATGTTTAATTTTATTTGAAATCTTATTATTTTATTTTGTAAACAGTGATATTCAATGACTCAACTATATTTCAATGATATTGAAATACTAGAATCTACTTAAACATGCTCCTGTTTTATGGTGACATTGTTTCTGTTCTTGTGATCACAAATAATACAATAAGCATTTTTGTATGTGAATCATCATCATATCAAACAATATCATTAGGAGAGATTCCTAAAGGAGTAATTACTGAGTCAAAAAATTTGGGTTTCTTTTTTTTTTTTTTTTAAGATTTTATTTATTTATTTGAGAGAGAGAGAATGAGAGACAGAGAGCATGAGAGGGAGGAGGGTCAGGGGGAGAAGCAGACTCCCTGCCGAGCAGGGAGCCCGATGCGGGACTCGATCCCGGGACTCCAGGATCATGACCTGAGCCGAAGGCAGTCGCTTAACCAACTGAGCCACCCAGGCGCCCCAAAATTTGGGTTTCTTATGACTTAATTCATATTGCTAAAAATTGCTTTCCAGAAAGGTATATCAATTTATGTTCTGACCATCAACATACTACTATTAGTAAAATTGAGGATGGACATCTTTTTACACATTTACTGGCTGTTGATTTTTCTTCCGTGAATTGCCTGTTCATTTCTATCTATTTCTCTATTGGGTTGTTTGGCTTTTCTTTGTATTTTTGTAGGAGTCCATGCATCTGCTGGGTAATTCATTGATCCAATAAACAAATATTTGATCACCTGCTATGTGTTAAGTACTATTTTAGGTGCTGGAGGTGAATACGGCAATGAACAAAACAGACCAAAAGTATACTCTAGTCAGGAGGAGGGGTGCAGAAAGTAAACAACTATACGTCAGGTGGGGATAGTGCTATAAAAGCAAGGAAACAAACAAAGCAGGTAAAAAGATGTAGAGTGTAAGAAATGGTATTTTATATGGATGGTCAGGAAAGGTCTCCCCTTCATCAGAAACCTAGAGTATATGAGGAAGTAAGCCATTCAGAGCTTCCTCGGAATGAGAACTTAAGGCAGAGGGCACAGTATGTTCTTCATAAATTCTGGATATTGACTCTTTCCCAGAATATCTCTTACCTTTTGTGGTTGTTCATAGTGTCTTGTACAGAAGTTTTAATATTGTAGAGATCAAACTTGTCAATCTTTTCATATTCATGATTTCTGGGTTTTATGATTAAGAACTTTTCTACCCCCAAATCATAAATATATTTTCAAAGATTCACTTCTATTATTTTTATGCTTTGATTTTTAACAGCTTTCTTGAGGTATAATTCATGTATCATAAAATTTACCCAATTTGAGTATATAATCCAATGATTTTTAGTAAACTTAGAGTTGAATAATCATCACCACTATCCGGTTTTAGAACTATACTTTGATTTTGTTATATACAGCTTTTATTTATTTATTTATTTATTTGAGAGAGAGAGAGGTTGCACAAGTGGGGAGGAGGACAGAGGGAGAGAATCTTCAGACTCCCGGCCAAGTGCTGAGCCCAACTTGAGCCTTGAGCCCATGATCCTGAGATCAATACCTGAGACGATATCAAGAGTCTAGCACTTAACCAACTGAGTCACCCAGGTCCCTCTGTTATATGTAGCTTTTAATATGTCTAAGATTCATTTTAGCTTTTGGTGTGAAGTGAAAGACCTAAACTTTTTTTTTTTTTAAGATTTTATTTATTTATTTGAGCAAGAGAGAGCATGAGTGGAGAGGGAGAGGCAGGCTCCCTGCGAGCAGCGAGCCCGATGGGGCTTGATCCCAGGACTCTGGGATCATGACCTGAGCCGAAGGCAGATGCTTAATGGATTGAGGCACCCAGGTGCCCCTTTCCCCATTGATTTGAGATATCTCCCTTGCCACGTGCTCAACTTGCATGTATCTATGGACCTGTTCCTGGTCTCCCTGTTCCAGGGGTCAAAAGGAGACAGGGTTTTATTTGGTTCGTGGAGTTTTCAAAATTTGGGGATTTCACATGAAAACCCAGATTTTTGGCTTTTCTAGAAAAACCAGAAGATCCAGCAACTATCTGCTGGAGGCCAGTAGGGACCACTCATTTTAGATGGACATTGTTGACACCCCTTTTCCTTTCCTGGGAGGGGTCTTGTAACATAAACAGCAGACGTATATGGGGACTATCCCAGGCAAACTGGGATAATGGTCACCATGCCTGCTGTCCCGACATAATTATTAATAGTGTCTCTTTTCTCTTAAAAGTTTCTGATTTGGGTGATAAATGGTAAGTCACAATCTCCACCATTCCTTATTGCATTACACCCAGCACTTCTCTTTCATTTATGTTACAAGACCCCTTCCAGGAAAGGAAAAGGGGAGGCAAGAAGGCAATCCTGACACAGAGGCTTGCCAAAAGAATGATTACATGGGCTCAGAGTAGAGAGAACATATTATCTGGTGGGGAGAAATTAGGACAAGTTTCCTCTGACAAAGGATATGATGTCATAATCTACCGATCCCTTTCCCTTCCATTATTTCACTTAACTTCACAACAACCCACTTACACAACTTAGCCAGTCTGTTATCATGCATTTTCTTTGTGTATGGATTTGCTGTCTTCTGCTATAACCTGCATTCCAAAACAGGGACCTAGTTAGTCTGTTCTGCTCTCCACTGTATTCATGACCGGTTCAGGGCCTCTAGGAACTAATTACTGGCTGAATAGGGTCCCAGGAACTACTCACTGAATGAAATAAAAGGGAAATTAAGGAGCAGAGAGCCGAGGTGCATCCGCACCGAGTCAAGGGCAGAGAGAGGCAGGCAGGAATCAGGCTAGGAGGCTTGATTCCTGGACTGGAGTCCAGAATTTTTCCTAGCCAATTGGCTGTAACCTCCCAAACAGGCAAGAAATGGGAGAGTGCGCACGCAGGGACTTGTCTTTGACCTCGGGGGACCTCGCCGAAATGCTGGACCGAGGGGTCCCAAAAGCAAGTGGCGCAGGAAATGCCACATCTCAATTTCGCACCTGCCCCCCCACCCCAGAGAGCAAGACTACATATCCCAGTAGGCCCCGCGGGGCGCACGGCCCCTGCCACGCGGCTTGCGCCTCCGCCGTCGGCCCGCTGGGGGCGCTGCGGCGACCCCTCCGCCGCCCCGTAGAAATCTCCGCGGCCCCGGGGCCGCTTGCTTCCTGTTTGTCGGACGAGGAGACATGGCGGCGGCGCCGGCGGCTGCTGGGTCTGGGGCCGGCCGAGGGCGACGGGCAGCGGCAACGGTGGCGGCTTGGGGCGGATGGGGCGGCCGGCCGCGGCCCGGTAACATTCTGCTGCAGCTGCGGCAGGGCCAGCTGACCGGCCGGGGCCTGGTCCGGGCCGTGCAGGTACGAAGCCGGCCCGGAGGGGCGGGGCGGGGCGGACCGGGCGGGAGCTGGCGGGGAGCCGGAGAAGAGGCCTTTCCAGGCCTCCGCAGTACGGGACCGACCCCTCTTAGCTGGCCGCGGGGCCTCCCTGCAGGCTGTCTGTATGCTGTCAGCCGCCGCCGCGGGGCGGTGGGCAGCAGCCGGCTAGAGGCCCCGGTTAGGAGCCGAGCGGGCTTGGGCTGCATCGGGCATCGATGGCGTGTACGAGTCCTGGGCCCAGCTCCTGGATCCTCCCAACCCTGCGCCACGTCTACACATCTGGGGGACCCTGAGCGAGTTTGCTTTAGCTTCTAAGAGCCTCGAGTTTCTCCCCCGTGAATTGGGTGGTGGGTCGTCATTGCAGCCCCCGAACGGTTCCTACGCCTATCATAAATGTCATACTCTCGGAGAGGCCTTTCCTTGACACTACCCCCTACCCCACTTCTAAAGTAGGTCCCCATTGTTATTCAGTCACAGCCCTGAATTCGTTTCGCTCACATTACTTACTTAGTCTGTAATTCCATATTTCTTTGTTGTCTACCCTTCTCCTCGCCTGTATCCCACGTTAGGCTGAGCTCCAAAGGGTGCAGGGACTGTATCTGTTTTGCCAATGTAGAGCGTCATGGTTAAGAGCGAGGACTTTGGAGTCAGGCCTGGATTCAAAGCCTTGCTTGAGCAAGTTACCTTTCGGTGCCTCACTTTTCTCATTTGTAAAATGGAGATGATAATTAGTAACCTGCCTCTTAAGGTGGTGTGAGGATCAATGGAGACAATTGTGTAAAGCGTTAAGTGCGTTTTTGTTGCTTAGTAAGGGTTGAAGGATAATCAGTCAGTTAATGCTGTACTTGGTATCTGGCTTATAATAGGCGCCCAATAGATGATTAGTATTTTTTGAATGAATGAAGGACACTGCTTTGGGGTAAGGCAGGATGAAAAGACCTAGGCTCCTCGCTCCTGCTACCCCCTTTCATTCCCAGAACTTAGGTTGCAAACGCACCTGTAAAGCATTAGCTTAATTTAAAGACAGCTTTTGCATATAGAAACTTTTTGAAGGCTACACAAGAGACTAATACAGTGGTTGGTGGGAGTCAGTGGCATTTGGGTAGATGGGGGAGAGAATGGGAGTGAGATTTTTCACAGTATACTATATATATCTATATATCTATAAACTTGAGCCATTTCAGTATTACTCATATGATTAAAAGGACAGAATAAAGATAAAATCAGGTGGTCTCTGTGTTAGCAGATTACAGATGAAGAACCAGTTCTGGGTGAGCAGTATTTTCCTGAACATCAGATAATCATAGTTGAGCAACTTTTTCCCCCTGCATTCTTCTCTATCTGCCTTAACATCCTGGAAAGACTTGCTCTTTAAACCAAAATGCCTTACCTAGCTGGGTTGTAGGGACAGGCAGAGAGGGAGCTAACTCACCTTCACTGAGCACATACTTCAGATCAAACATTGTGCAAGATATACAGTGTTTTCATTTAATCTTCAGGCTTTTGAATGAGGTGTCAGGACTCCTGCCTCAACATAGATGAGGAAACTGCGGCTCAGAAAATTTAGGTGATCTACTAAACACCCATCTTGCTAACCCTTTACATTCTGAGGGCAGTAGGGAGCCAAAAGTCATTCGGCATAATCAGTGAGGCAATTTAGGACACTTAAATTGTTTCCAGTGCTGGATGACTTGGAATGGGAGGAGATTGGAGAAGTTCACCAGATAGAAGGGTGCTAGAATATTCTTGAGCCTGGTTCAGGGTGATTATTGTGGTAATCAGGAGTTATATGCAGGTGTGGAAGCTCTTTCAGAGGTTGAGATGGAGAGATCTTCCTAAAGCTCTGGTGAGGGTAGAGTGGGGAATTTCATCTTTCAAATGTATCCTTTCTTGGTAACTTTCCTTGATCTTTTCCTTGCCTCACACACCCCCTTTCCCTACATTAGAGGTAAATTCTTTTCTCACAGGCATTTCCATAGCACAGTAAGCATGTCTATTATGGCATGTGGTATACTGGGAAAGACCAGATTGAAAAAAATTTTAAGTTGTGGTGAACACGTGACATGAAGTTTCCCATCTTACCCATTTTTAAGTGTACAATTCAGCAGTGTTACGTGTGTTCACATTGTTGTGAATCAGAGCTCCAGGATTTTTTCATCTTGCCAGTTTGAGACTCTATACCCATTAAACAACTTCCCTCCCACCTCCTTTCCCCCAGCCACAGACAGCTACCATTCTACTTTTTGTTTCTATGAATTTGACTACTTTCGATACTTCATAGAAGTGGAATCAAAGAGTATTTGTCTTTTTGTGATTGGCTAATTCCAATTAGCTTAAAGTCCTCAAAGTTCATCCATGTGGTAGCATGTAACAGGATTTCCTTGGAGAAGACTGTATTTTGAAGGAAGGTGGACCTAGATTGAACCCTAGTTCTCTCACTTACTAGTTGAGTGACCTAGGTTATGTTATTTAAACTTCCTGAAGCTCTGTTTCCTTATTTCTAAAATGGCAATAATAATATCTGTCTTACAGGGCTGTTTGGAGGATTAGGTGACATCATATGTCTAAAAAGCTTGGCCAGTGTGAGGCAGTAGTAGATGTTCAGTAAATAGTTGCCATCAGCTTGTAGCTGTTAGACTGGGCTTCGTAAGGGACTAAGGGACTTTGTCTTCTTAAGGGACTTTGTGTCTGCAGAGCCTATAAACAGTGTCAGGCCCTTGATAGCCAGGACTCAGAAAATTGTTTGAATTGGAATACTGTTGGTGAGGGCTCATTCTTCCTCCTCCTCAATCCTGTCTCTACTCCTAAACAGTCTCGTGGCTTTAAAGAGTTCTAGAGTCATATATCCTAGGTTTGAATCCCAGCTCTGGTACATACTTGCTGTCTGTGTTCGGGCAAGTTACTTAATCTCTTTATGCCTCAGTTTCTTCATTTGTAAAATAGGGCTAATCATGAGACCTATCCTGTAAGATTGTGGTAATGATCAAGAGAGTTTATACATATAAAGCACTTAAAATGGTGTTTTAAAATGTAGTAAGCATGCTGTAAAGTTTAGCGAGTATTGTTTAACAAATTCCCTATATTCTGATTTATCCTAAATCTATATTTCCATCCAGATTTCTCCCATTAGCTCCAGATGGTTATATCCAAATATCTTCTCAACACCTCCACTTCGATGTCTAGTGGACATCCCAAACTTAATATGTCAAATAAAATTCCTGATTCCCTGCACTCTAACCAAACCTGATCATCCCAACTCTTCCCCATTTCCCTAAATGGGATTTAAGAGAAGTCTGGGAGAAGACTCCAGACCACATGATTTAGAACGGGCCTGTGCTACGTGGGTTTTAGTGTATTTTCTTTTCTTTTCTCCCATTTAATTTGTCCTCTTCAAGGTAATAAAGTAATGCTGGTGTAATGCTTTAGTGTTTACAGAGCTTATGTATGTTTATCAGCACGTTTGATCCTTACAGCAAATTAGATCTTACAGATCCCTTGCTTAAAGCCCTCCAGTGGCATCCCACTGCAGTTAGAATCAAATCCATATTCCTTAGAGTTGGGTGCACAAGACCTGCATGATCAGTAGGAGTTGAGGGAAAGGGGTAGACTAGGCAAACCCTAGGCTCAAAGCAGAGTAACTCAAACAGGTCATGACCCACCACCCCTAGAGCTAATCCTTCGGTTTGGCAGTCTGGTGGCAAACTAGGTTATGGCATCCTCATTCTCTTTCCCAAATGCTAATCATTGCTTCCTTCATGATTACTGGCATATCTAATTTCTACCTGAATGTTACTTACTTCATACTTTTTCTTGAGATTGACCCCTCCTTTTTTTTCCTTTTTTGTTAATTTCAATAAGCACAACTTGGTTTAGCCTCATCCTAAGCATTAGTATTTGTGACACCTAGGGGTTTAAGTCAAATACAGCCTTCCCTTGCCTGTCAAGGGTAATTTGGTATTGAAAAACCCCAGGGTAGGATAAATTCTCATAAATTAAAAATAGAAATACTATTCATTTTAACAGGAAGTTTTTGTACTTACAAACTATAAAATTCACTCCTAATTATATTAAAACAAAACAAATCCCATTAAAGTGGACGCAAGTATTCCTTGGTTAACATTTATAATCAGAATAACCTAACAAAGTAGTTAGGTTATTCATCTTCATGAATTATTATTTTTTTTTTTAAAAGATTTTATTTGACAGAGAGAGAGAGACAGCGAGAGAGGGAACACAAGCAGGGGGAGTGGGAGAGGGAGAAGCAGGCTTCCCACAGAGCAGG